TGAAATATGACGTACTTCTATCTTATCCTGACTATGATAATCCTAATCATTTGCATATATTAGATAAGAATGGAAAGATTCTTTATAAAACCAAAGGTGTCAGTCCACCACTGATACCAAAAGAGCAAAGTGCTGAAGGTTGTCTAATTTATTTTCACTTAATTGAGTAACTTTTCGTAAGCACATATGCATTGTATATTTGAAAACTTGACAACCTTTTAACCTAATTCATTAATGATAAACCATATTTAAAGTACTGTTTAATTTGAAATTATCTAATCGAAAAGAGAAATGATAATATTTAAATAGGAGCTGGGATACAATGGTTGGCTTATTCTGCAAATGGTACAATTCAAGGAAAAGTTATTTATTGCCATTTTGGACGAAAAGAAGATTTTGAACGTTTAAAATATTATGATATTGATCCTAAGGTATAAATATTTTGCTTATTTCATTTTTTCTTATTTACAACAAAAAAATAACAACATGAACTAATTATTCCAACTAATTGGATTAAGATTTAAAAAATAAAAGATTGTAACTCATTTTTTTCTTTGAATATAATCCAAAAAGAAATAATCGATCATTGTTTAAGTAATAATTGTCAATAATAATATAAGCTAATTCCTCAATTCGTTACTGTTTTCCTTGAGAATTCTTACATAATGAAGTGCTTAATGAACTATATGATATTGATTGCATAATAATTTCCAGGGTAAAATAGTTATGATGAGATATGGCAAAATCTTTCGGGGTGATAAAATATGGAATGCTCAAATAGCGGGTGCTGTTGGTGCTATTTTATTTTCCGATCCTTTTGAAGTAGCACGAGATGGTACAGAAAAAGGTTTCATTTCTTAAATTTTTGTAAAATTTCGTTTCATACGCAATCATTAATTAGTATAATCGGACATTTTTTGCACATATATTTAATTATTTTAATTTATGTTTTGACAGATAATTTCAGTTATAAATGAATGATAAAAATGTTAGGACTTGATTCTTGGTGATGAAAAATGGGAGAAAAAAGAAGGCATTGAGAAGGAAACAAATTTTGAAATTCAATAATAAGGATGAAAAAAGACAAATCCCAAATTTATTTCATTTAATTTCCTATTTTCTGACAAAGTAGGGTAAAAAAATTTTTTCTTTATCCTTAAAATTATTGTTTATTTATTGGAAAATCATATAAATTTAATAATTTAAAGTTTGAAATTTGCTCCGCAAATTATTTTTAATATTTCAATGTACAGAAAATGTTTACCCGAATACCAAATGGTTGCCAAATGTGGGTGTGCAACGCGGTAGTATTATGCATGGTAACGGCGATCCGCTTTCTCCGTTATATCCATCAAAAAAGAATTTGTATCGTTCAAAAACTATCAAAGAGGTTTCATTCAAATAGTTTTCTTATACTTCTAATTAAATTAAAATTGCGAATCTTATTTCTTTATCATATTAATAGTCAAGAGTAATTCAATTTTATATTTGTATAATAAGTCATATTTTCTTTCAATGATAAAACAATTTTAAATTAAAATGCTATATTTAAATTTTGTTTAAACCACTAACAATATTTCCTTTTATAAAGATATAAATTGGATTACAGAAATAATAAATTTTAATGCAAAAATAATTATTCGAAACGTTAAATAAGAAAAGAAAATACTTCTTGTTTACCATTTGTTTTTTAATATAAATTTTTGCTTTTAATTAATCTTTTACTTGCTCTTTCAATATGAAATTTTCGTCACTCTCACCGTTATCTGTTATATATGTTATGTATGAGTGAGAATAAAATTTCGTAGCCCTTATTGATTATAATTTAAAAACAACCAACATTTAATGATCAAATTGTTTAATTATGTGAATTTTTTAAAAAATGTTTATAAATCATTCTTTTGTTGCATTTTTGCTAATTTTTAAATCATGAAATACTGAAAAATTTTTTTGATATAACTGAAGATATTAATTTGTTCATGCTATATGGTTTGACTTAAGCTTACATTGAGCATAAATTTTATAAAGTTAAATTTGGATCATAAATTTCAGTGCAGTTAATACATGTTTTCTTTTCGGAGATGAAAATAGTGATCAAAATGCTATTTGTGATAGCAAATTACCAAATGAAAAATTATTTTTCAAAAGTTTCTAATTAATAAATAAGATAATATAATTGAGAATTTGTGGTGTAGAGAAGATATTAGAAAAAAGAGTAGCAAACGATAAATTATTTGATATATTCATTATTTCATGTCTGAGGTGAATGAAGTATACTATAGCACTAAAAATTTTAGATTTACATCTGAAGGTTCTTGACTCGCTTCTAGAAGTTTTGTGCTTTTCTTCTGATTGCTCCAAGAAATAATTCTTAAATTTCAGGCTATGAATGATTATGTGATACCAACAATTCCAGTATTACCATTAAGTTATTCGGATGCTTATCAAGTGCTATCTAACATGCAAGGTTTCATAGCACCATTTGATTGGCAAGGCGGTCTTAATTTGACTTATTATCTTGGACCTAATATGAAGGAAGATAATGAAATTCAAATTATCGTTCATTCATCATTAGAAACCAGGTATTTTTTAACCGTAATATCAAATTTTACTTTTTGACAACTAATATGGGAAATTTTTGAAATTTTTTATGTTAGTTATCAGAATTAGATTTTGTCATTTTATGTCTGATGAATGGAGTATGCTTTAACATTGAAAATTTTGAAATTTGCATTTGAAAGTTCTAATTTATTCAATTTTTATCATTTTTAGTGAATAACTTTCCAAGGTTTTCTTTAATTCATGAGTTAATTTCATATTTTTTTAAACTCTCAAATAATCAATTATTCATTTAATTTTGAATGCACTTTGAAATGATATAATATTAATTGTTGCAGAACAATTCGAAATGTACTAGGATATATTCGCGGTACAATGGATCCTGATAAATATGTTATCTTAGGTAATCACTACGATGCTTGGGTTTATGGTGCATTAGATCCGAATAGTGGTACAGCAATATTAGCTGAGGTTGCTCGAGGGATTACGGAAACTATGAAAATGACAACTTGGAGACCGGGTAACTTATCTTTTTATCATTAATAAATGATATGTGACACGTGTTACTGAATGTAAATATATGATGAACATATAACTGTGTAATATTCCAATTAATCTGATAAATATCATTACGTTAAAAGTTTATATTTTCTAATTTTTATCGACTAATTGAAGTTTGATTCCGTCAAGTTTCAATGCAATTCGTAATATGTACGTGTTGTCGTACGCTGTACTTTACAATGTCACTTTCCGCAATTTACAATTAAATTTTATAAAATCAAGATGATTTAAATAGTATATTGCAGCAAGAACAATTATATTTTGCAATTGGGATGCTGAGGAATATGGCTTAATTGGATCGACAGAATTTGTTGAAGATCATGCAAATTTATTAAGTCAACGAGCAGTAGCATATTTCAATGTGGACAATATACACTCCAATCATTCCTTGTTCAATTTTTTTTTAATTCTTTATGAATTTAATTCATTTTAGTTTTTCACTTTTTTAGATTTAGTTTTTGTAAGCATCATATGATTTTTTTAGACTAATAATAAGGAATTTTTACATGAAAAAGATCAATGAAGTCTGATTGTAGTAATTTTAAGATCTCCAATTAATAATATCCCTTATTATTTCAATTTGTTTTCATCAAATTTATTCATTTCAAAATAAGTTGGAAAGCTTAAAATATTTAATACTAGACAGATGACAAATAATTTGACTCGTAAGACAGGCGAACAAAATAAAATTCTAGATATTGATTTGATCATGTTAGTTTCCTTATTCATTCATTCGTTGATCTTATAGATTATAAATACAGCATTAATATGGTAGGGAATTAAATTAGAAATTTAAATAACTCATTCAAAATGTATTCATTGCAGACATGTAAGTACAGTACCGACATTATATCAATTTATGACAAAAATGTCAAAATTAATTCCAAATCCAATGGAATCGGAGAAAAGAAGCGGACGAGAAACTCTCTACGATACTTGGTTTTTCCTTCCTTTTTAATTTAAATAAAATGTTGAATCTTTTTTTCTTTACAAATAATTTATTTTCAAGTTAAATTTTCTAAGCATATGTGATATCTTTGTGCATGAATGCAATTAATAATAAAATATCAGAAAAGATGAAAAAATGAATCATTTATTCATGTCATATATTATTATTAATAATTCAAATTTCAAATCAAAGAATAGTGAGAAAAGGATATCCGTTAATTTTGTAACGATTAAACTACAGGTTCAAAAATTTTCCAAGTGATATCAGTTTTTTACCGGATATACCATCAATGCCGATTCCAGGAGATAAAAGTGACCATGCAGCATTTTTAAATTATCTCGGTATACCAGTTGCTGATATCACTTACAGGTATAAATTGCAAGCTACAACTTACCTTCAAGATATAAAACAATTTAAAAAATTGATTCAAATAATAGTTTAAATTTGTGAGACAAATTGAAGACTTCAATATTTTATCTTTTGTTTTTTTTTTGCTTTATCATTTCAACTTTTTTCTTGTCGATCATTTCTTACAAATAATATAAATTTTAAACATTCATTAAAAAAATGCTTTTTTTAATATTTTATCAATTAAAATATTTTAGAAATAAAACATCGTACGATAATTATCCGTTGTATCATTCGTTATATGAGACACCATTCGCCAGTGAGCACATC